TAAACGTCCTGTAGACAAGGAAGCAATTCAGGCATTTTAGATCTAAAATTGTCCTCCACCCCCCTGAACTCTTTGGGACCACAGTAAGTGTGAATAAAAACTCTGTCTACATTGATCCTTGATACAGGTTGGATCTCCAGCAAGTGCTGAATAGCAGTCTCCATAAGGGCTCTTTTGGTAGGGTCCCTTGAGACAGGGCACTGCATAAAGAAGTTCAGGGGTGTGGAGAGGAATTCCAGAGAGATCCGATCTTATGGTCTCTCTGACCCAGGCATCTGACGTAGTGACTCCCATTGATCGGCAAATAGCTTTAATTGTCCTCCTATGGGAGGGCCGGGTATGAGATTATTTGGTGTGCCGAAATGATCTATTTCCTGCCCCATGAAAGGACATTTTTTTCTGTCCTCCCCGCCGATTTCTATCCCCAAAGTCAGATATTTCTGCCTGCTGTCCTTGTCAGTACCCAGAGGGCCTTTGTGGTCTCTGGGAATAGGTTCCTTAATAGAAGGGATGAAAGGAATTCCTCCAAAAGGACTGGGATGGTCTATTTTCAGGCTTACGAAACAGGGAGGGAAGTATCTTCTTCTTATTCCGAGATTCTAACAGGAGCAGATCCAGGGCAGATCCAAACAGTTTGTTCTCTTCAAAAGGGGCAGGTGCCAGCTTCCACTTATGTTTGGTATCCAGTGGCCAATGGCGGAGCCAAAGTAAGCATTGCGCTGTGACTGGGACGCTATGGCTCTTGAAGGAATTTTACCAAATTAAACTTTGCCTGGATGCTCTGGAGAATTTTAAATCACAAAGTTGGTATATGCCATATTCATGCATAGCAGTAGCATTTAGACTTATATACTGCTTTACAGTGCTTTATAGCCCTCTCTAAGCAGTTTACAGAGTAAGTATATTGCCCCCAAAAATCTGGGTCCTCATTTTACCAGCCTTGGAAAGGTGGAAGGCTGAGTCAACCTTGAGCCTGGTGAGATTTGAACTGCCAAATTGCAGGCAGCTGGCAGTCAGCAGAAGTAGCCTGCAGTACTGCATTCTAACCACTGTGCCATCGCGGCTGCATGTTTGTATGGAAGTTCTCTGAAAGAGAAATAATCCTTAATGCCTGAAAAGTATAAATAAATTACAATGTGCACACTCTTATGGCATTTATCCATCATTTTCAAGACATTTTAATTATAAACATATTTTTAAGTTTGTGAAGAAATTGTTTTAGATAATGAATTTGAATTCCTCCAATGTAAGCATCTAATGTGCAGGTACTTGAACATTCTGGCTGAAGAAAAAAGAAAAATTGTAGTGTAACAGACATAAATATCTGAAAAAAAATGAAAAAAAATTATGTGCTCAAAAAGTGTTAAGGAAGAACAGGAAAGAGTGATTTCTTGAAATTATTTTACATATTTGAGTAATAGCTAACTAGAAAAACAATAATTTGAAACAACTCAAACATAAAGGCACAAAAAAACAAAGAAGCCGTTATATCCACCAGAGAAACAGTTGCAATTTTAAGGAAGAAACAACACATTCAGGAAGGATAGTGACTTTAAAAAGTCACACCACAATCCTATTGCCTGCTCTCGTCTAGAGAAAAGGAAATCGTGTACTTCAAAACAAAGACTCTTGCTTTTCCAATTACATTATATCCACAATTTCACTAGCATCTGAAAGGAATTCAAACAACTATTGCTTATTGCAATTGCTCTGTACTGTTTTCCTTTAAAAATGCTGCTTCTAAACTTTTCTGTAAAAATTACATCTAAAATTGATGCAGAATCTGCTTTCAAGAAAGTATGTCAACCTATTATTTTAAAAATCAAAATGAGGTAAGCTGAAATATTTTTAAGAAGAATATAAAATAAATGACATAAACATCTTTCACATATTACATCCAAAAAACATTCAGAATTCTAAATATTGTAAATGCAGACTTCTCAATAATATAATCTTCTCCTGTAGAATTATAAAAATTGAAAGAACAGAAAACTATTTATACTGTACTAATAAAGGAGAATATTTGTAATTCAGGGTTGACATAGTGCTCTCTGAGCTTGCTTGTTTTCTTGCAGATGTTTCATTATCCAAACTAGGTAACATCATCAGTGCTAGTTTGGGTAATGAAGTGTCTACAAAAAACAAGCAAGCTCAGAGAGCACCAAGGACCTCTCATATTTATACTGTCATATATTCTGGGTGATTATGCATAAATAGCTGCTTTTTCTATCCCCTTCACTCAATTAATATACTAGATTAGCAACAGCATCCTGATATATCTATACAATTGCAATCATAGGACTCAGCAGGCTGTAATTTAACTTGGCAGGATGAAAAAGCAGCACTCGTGCATATGTAGTGATCACTTCCACTCATTATATACTCTGTCCACAGTTTGTTTTAATGTCATTTGAATGAATGATTTTGATTTGTTTTTTTGAGCATGTCTACAAAGTTTTATGATCAAATACTAAGAGTCACCTGGAAAATATTTAACAACTTGCTTTTAAATTACCATAATCTAGAATTTCATTCATTCCAGAACTGCCCAAATAGATACGTATCAGTCATTTTTCACATCAATAATTTAACTTTCAGAAACCATTTCCAGAACTGGAAAATTTACTATTTCTAGCAATATCAATGGCTCAGTAACTTTTTAGTATTTGGTGAGGAACTATTCTTCAATTATATATTTAAAAATGTATTGTTTAATCTATTATATGGCAATAGCCCAATAGCAGAACCATGAAATTATATCCTTCTAATAGTTAAGCAGTTTATAATTTTCCTCATAACTGATAAAAAATCTTATTTATATATTTTGGACTTATTAACCGTAGACTAAGTCAGGGGTATCAAACTCAAGGCCTGGGGGGCAGATGGTGCTTAGATCTGGCCCACAGGCCCACCTTGGAAACAGTAAAGGATCGGCCTGTGGTGCCTCTGCCAGCAGAAAGGGAGCTTGGGAGAGCCATGTTTCCATTGGCAAAGGGCTGCAGGAGGCCATTGCAGCCAAAAATGGAGTCCAGGAGGGCCCGCACAGCTGAAAAGAGCACCCGGAGGGGCCAGTTTCTACCGATGGGCTGTCAGAATTCTGAACGGAAAATAACTTCATGTCAACATAGTATGACTTGCCAGGCTGGCGCGTTGTGCAACAAGGTCACACAGAGTAATAAGATTGGGACTAGATTAGGGACTTCTGTCCTCACTGTGAGTTGTGTTGGAGGGGTGCACAAAGGGTGGCTCAGCCAATCTTATTTTACACATGTTGTATTCTGACAATAAAGGTAGTAATAATGTGTGGCATCCCGAGCTCCTTTTTTTTGCTGGCAGAGGGCTGCAGGAGGCTGTTGTGGCCAAAAATGGAGCCTTGATGAGTGACATCAACCTGGCCACATCCCTCCGGCCAGCTTCCCTGGCCCTCCGAGATCAAACACAACCCTCAATGAAATTGAGATTGACACCCCTGGACTAAATGATCTCCAAGATCATTTTCAACTATTACGTTATGTGATTTTAATATATGATCTAAAATCCATACATATTGAATTGATGAGAAAGAAGCAAAACAGAGCACTGAAAAGCAACAAATACAGAAAATCAGGAGAAGATGGGTGACGGAAATAGGCAGGGGAAGGGGGCACTGTAGGGGCCCTGCAATCAGTTGTAAGGGTCAACTGTAGGAGCACTGCATCAGATGTAACTTTGAAACTGGGTAATAAGTAGTTTTTTGAGTGTGTGTGTCTTGTCATAACTTTGAATGATTGCTAAGAAACCAAACAAGTGGACATCTGTCTATATGTGAAATGTAAGATTGAATGGATAGGAGCACTTGTCTAAGTTGACTTCAATAATTCTCTCCTGTATATGATTAAAAATGCAACAAAAATATTAAACAAGTTTGAGATCTTTTTATTAATTCAGTAAAAAGTAAATAGCCACTTAAAAGTTTTCCCTCTTTTCAGTTAGTCTTGAATAGCTTTTGTATAAAATAAACCAATTATATATACTGCGAATTTTATTTTTCTAGTCATTGTCAATATAGGAGATGGTGCTCATCTCCATTTCAAAGCCATTGAGCCAGCACTGTCTGAAGACATTTCCAGTCAGTAGGGCAATATTACCTCACAGAGTGCTGTTACCTTCCCACTGAAATGAGATCTATTTTTCTATTCGCAATTGCATACTTTCGAACTGATAGGTTGGCAGGAGCTGAAGCAAGAACAGGAGTTCACCTGTAGTGTAGCATTCACCTGGGCTGCCAATAAGCCCAGCATCTTAATTGCTGAGCCACTATGCCACCCCAACCAAGTTAGAGGTGTTAAAAAAAAAAACTGTTTTAGAAACACATTGCTCTCTCATCACCAAATGTTCCAATTACCAAATTATAACAACTGGTGCTAGGCATTCAAGAACATTAGTAACTTAATTATGCAATATTTCAAACTTAAGTCTCCAAATCACTATTGATAATCTTTCACAATCAATATGATTATTACTTCAATTTGATAAAAGTAAATTAATCAATACTAATTTTAGAAAGTATCAAGTCTTGCCTCCCTACATATGAAGTGCTGCATGTCCTACTTTCTATTTGTATCTTAATGGGGGAAAGTATTTTGGAGCATGTGGGAGCACTTGCCAACACATGCTACAAACTCCTTGAAAAGCTTGGCATTAGCATCTCAATTCTTTAAACAGATTATAGGATTGTTGCAGATGCATTGTAGGTTCCCACATGTAATCCAAAGCATTTTTTATCTCATTGAAACTGAGTGCTCACCTCTAATAAACTAGGAAAACAGAATGTATCACTTGGTAAATAGCAATAAAGATAAAAACTTGAAAAAAATTCTCATTTCGCTTTTAAATATTTATAAAAAGGAAACTAGAAAATGTAGCTTAAAACAGAGTGGAATCAAACACCAAGGATATTATTACTATGAAGTAAAGCAAAATTCAATCATGTATCTTTTAAAATAATTCTAAATGCCTACCTGAACCAATAGGAGAGGAACCCACACTGAGACTTTGTAGACTTCCATTTCTGAGCAATGTTGGAGACTTCTGCAGATTAGAGCTTGTTATGCTTCCTGCAGCAGATGCTACTGATGATGTTGGGGAGGCTGAACAAACTGATAGGTGAGAAACATTCTCCTGACTTTTATTTCCTTTGGGCCGACCAGGCCCATGCTTACATTGCTTATTTCCTTTTCGTTTCTTTTCCTTTATGGTTTCGTCTTCTATCCCAGATGACTCAGCACGTTTGTATCCTGTTGGTGTAAGGTTTGAACTACCTAACTCTCCAGGTGAACTGTCAAAAATAGTAGGCTGGGAGGAAACAGTGGAGGTTGAAGGAAGATTAATTAAGGAAGTAAAGCAATTCAATCCACCTTCCTGACTTCCAATCTCTCCTTTATATACATCTTTGGTTGACAAAGTTTGTTGAGAATGAATATAGCTGTCATTACGTAGATCTGAGTCTGTAAAGCTCAAAAAATCCTGGGGAGATTGAACAGAACTTCCAGAGGATGACTTTGTACTGTTTGGAGTTCCCAAAAAATTTCCTGCAGAAAAGAGATGGGGAGAACTGTTGATTGTTGAAAACAGATGTTTATCAGCAAATATGTAAGTATAGTATTAAAAGAAAAATTTTACTGGCATTATGAATTTTGAGTTATTCAGGAAATTCTGGACATGCATATAGTTTTGTCTGTTTTCCAGAATTAACCAACCTCGTTAATTACATATATTTATGGTTTACATATATATATTTTTTAAATTACAATTTAGGGAACTTTCTTGGCAGGTTTTCTAACTAGTCACTAAAGCTCTTCTTAATATTATTGCTAATGTATTATTTTTTAAGCTAGCAACCAACAAAAAACATCTTCAAATTAATTTATGCTAAACCAGCCAGAGTCACTTGTTCTCTGAGAATGCCATTTATGTGAATTAGACAAATGAAATAAAAATAAAAATAATATCTCTCCAATTGCTGGTTCTTTGGGCAGAAAAATATGTAAGAAAGAAATCAAGATAATCCTGGGAAAGCTAAAACAAGCAGTAGCTTGTTTTTATCACATGTCCCTGATATGTCCTTTCTAGGCAGAACAAAGATCAAGAGTCAAATATACAGGTAATTTCTCCTCCTCTAAAAAAAATTATCTCTCCCTTACTCTTATTAAACTTACTTAACTCTTACTACACTTTCCCATGATATCTAGATTAGGGAATTAAGAGGAAGCCTGATTTGATAAATGTTTTTTTGTTGATTACAAACACATTTTTAAATCAAAAGGGAAGAATAATATTCCAGATTTCATATAGACAAATAAAACAATCCATTATATGTAATATGTTACAGTAAATATAATAGGAAATATTCCAATATGAGAAATACCTTTTTCAACTATAAAATCATTCCAAGAAAACCAAAGAATTCAATTTATACGGGAAGATATTCTTCTCAGTACTATTGTACATTCAACGAATTCTTGATAAAAAAAAATGCAGTGCTTTCTTTGATATATTGCTTCTCAAAATATTTTCTCTTCCATAGATTAGTATAAAATATATTTCTTATATTAATAAAGTATAAGATTTCACAGTTATTTGTCAGGACAATTACTTCTAGATCATGCTACATAAGATACCGAGCATGTGCTGAAATTTTGCTGCTGCTAGCTTTTCCAGGGAAATTCTGAAGCTACTTATATTCTTCACATACTAAATATGAAAAATATATTTCATCTAAATTTATTATTTTTAATTTAAATTTCACTTGGCACTGAAGAAGGCAATAGAGTACCCTCCAATAATACCTTGTTGAAAAGTACAAGCTGCTGATACTGCAGTTCCAGGAGTCCTGGCAGCACCAGGCTTTCTTCCCCTTTGACCTGAATTATGACCTGCTGACTTCTTCCCTTTGCTCTCTGAACCTCTGGCCTCTGAAACATCTTTGCCACTTGAAGCATGTGCAGAGACTTCCTGGAAATTTGCATTTGTAAAACGAGCTGTGGTATCTTCCAGCCTCTTCAATGACCCTGTCATAGAGTTGTTGGTAGTGCTTGTGTAAGTCTTAACAGTATTAAATTGGGAAAAGGGAAGTTGAGAGAGACAGTTAGACCACAAGGAACTGACATAAAACTTTGAAGCAATCAGTGGTAGTGTACATATTAACCTGTCCTTAAATTATACTTAACTGGTCTCTCCACAATACCTATAAGCAGTTCCTATTTAATTACTTTCTTTCACTCCTTCTTGGAAGGTTCTGAAAACTTCTTCAATGTAACTCAATGACATAACCCCAAAAGCTTCATTTCTTGCTTTTTTAAAAAAAGCCACTAACATTTGTTTTTAACTGTTGTGCCTTAAATCTTTACTATTATTGATTTGATATTCTGACTAAAGAGAAAGTTTAAAAAATGCATTATTTTAATATATGCAGCACAGTGACAAATAGAGTCCATCACCTTAGCTTTACAAATAAAAGTATATGTAAAATAGAGCACAAAAATCTACCCAGAAAAAGCCATTTAATTTTAAAATAAAAAAAAACTCTTTGCCTTAATTCAGAAAATACAGTGTTGCAAAATATAATGCTTCTATATGCACAATGTCATCTCGCAGCACATTCATGAAACTTATTGCCATCTGACGTTTAAAAAATTAGCATCTAAAATTAATTTTATTCTTTTTCGTTTTAGCAACAATCAAGATGACTTTTTTTCACAAAAAAATTGGAACACTAGTTTTCAGGGTTGCAATGCCTAAAGCAAACAGCCCAAATTACATGTAATATTAAGCTACTAAATCTTTACAAGAATAAGCAAGAATTGGAAAAGCTCTCTGAAACATATATGTACACGTATGTTCTCACATATGTATAAATCAGTTGGAGATGTTCCTCTGCAATTGCTTCCCTTTCAGCAACTTCAAATATAATTGTTTTTTTGTCCTGATTCTTATCACTTTTTAGAATTTGCCACTAAAATTCAAAGATTAAAATGGTCTTCATCAAAATGGCCTTCCAGAAGGTCCTTAAAAACTGGTTTTGCTGATTGGCTTGCTGCCCTGGGAAGGGATGCTCTTTGCTAGAGGTATCTGATGGGATAAGAGAGAAGAGCCTATCCCCATGTTATCCATTGCTTTGGTTTTAGTTCTTATTTAAGTCTTATTACTTTTAACTCTTTTTATATTTATTTTTTAACTAATGTGTAAGCCAGCCAGAGTCACTGTATCAGTGAGATGGATGCCATATACATTTAAATCAGTCTAGTATTATTTAATCTGCTTTATGAAATAAATTACAATAATTCTATTTAGATTTTTTTAAAAATTAAAACCCTAATCAATGATGACAAAAATCCATATAACATTAAAAAGGAAGTTGTAGCATTTCATATATCTGAGGGAAGAGATTATAATTTAAAGCCAGATTCACTGTAGCTTTTCTTCACTGTAGCATGCTGGGGGGGAAAGACCTGAAATCTAACATCCAATCCACTTGCAATCTTCCTTATCAGCTTCCCCACTGACTTTCTGGGGAAGCCAGTAGAGATTGGAAATGGCGATCACACGATCACAGGGAACTTGGCACTTGGCAACCAATTATAAATACAAACAGCTTGCCAAGTACGGAAATAAAAATCTTTGACTGGGAAAACCATGACTTTTACAATAGCTGGAAGTGCCTTACAAACTGTAAAGCATCTGTCCCAAGCCCTTTGTGACTGTGAACAGCTGTTAACCAAGTTGTGAACTACCAGTATTCCATATTATTTTAACCCCGATTGCTCAGTTCCAAAGCAGTAACTGACACATTTTCAAAGAAAGTATACAACTTGCCAGCACCAATAACTAATTCTAGGTCAGAATATTACACATAATCTTTTCTTGATTTTTCAATATTAAACAAACGGTCCAGCATTTTATTTTACTAGATATATTATTATTCTAGTAATAATAAAAATATGTACCATCCAAAATTCTTGGTATTTTTTATAATTTATAATAATGACTGGGCCATCAGCATCCTGACAACTGCCTAGTCTTGCGGCACCTCCAACAGCTCTATCAAGGACCTCATGTATGTCATTCAGCCTCCTGCTCCATTGCGGTGTCAAGCAAGGAGAAGCAGGCCTGTGGTCATGTGGGGTCTGGATGGGGTTTCTGAAGCTGCTACTGCAAGGCCAGGCAGTTATCAGAACATTTTTGGCCTGGCTGCAGGGCCTTCAGATAAGCTGGTGTGGGGTGCATGGGGCAGCTCTGCACCCCCTCATTTCATCCTCCACCCCCGCAACTTTTATCCTCTACCTCCACCCCATCTTGTTTCATCCTCCATACCCCCGCCTTGTTTCGTCCTCTACCCCACCACCTCATTTTGTCTTCCACCCCCGCCACTGTCTTATTTCATCCTCCACTCCATCCCCACCTCGCTTCATCCTCCAACCCCTCCACCCTAGCTTGATTTTTATGGTTGCACCTCGCCCCACTTCATACAATCAGAAGGTGGGAAGGGCTTAACTAGGCATTTTTGTGGATAAGGCTTATTTGAGGTGCAGGCATGAAAATCGGGCGTCCGCTTCTTTTCAGGGTAGGTCATATTTTCGGAAAAACACAGCATGCAGTTATTTTGTGTAAAAACGTGAAACATGCTATAAAAGTTTGAAACACACCACTGATATAAAAAGGTACATCTTCCACAAAATTAAAAAACCTGTATTAGAAAAATATAACATTACTGATTTAATATAATCCCTTAGTTTTCTTCCACATACATTCCAATCAATTAAACAGTAAAACAGTTTAAAAAGTTAAAATATTTATTTTTTATTTAAATATTTTATTTAAATTTAATAAATAAAAATAAATAAATAAAAATAAATTTTAGATTTTATTATACAAGACTATCCTTAAATGCCAATATTATTACTTACTCTTTCCCAAAAGTTGTGCTTAAATAATAGCAGGTGTTCACATTTGAAACATAAAACTAGATTATAGACACAATATAATTATTTATTTAGTAAAGTGAGAAAAAAGGCTGATAAACAGTTTTTTTTCTTATTGCAAGGACATATTGTAAGTTTCAGTGACATCCTTAGATGTCACATGTAACAGTCGTAAAAGAGTTAATTTACTCGAAAACTTTAGTCTCTTAAATATCAACTAAAATCAAACAATTTTGTTCAAAGGTGCTTCTTCTTTAATTTCAGCTGTTCTAAGAATAGCTCCTCTGTGGAAAGATCCAACTGAAATAAATATGAATTTATTATTGCAAACAATTAATAATTTAAAAATCAAGTTTATTTTATCACACATGTCTATTAAAATTGTTTAATACAAAGCACTATTTATTATCAAAAGAGATCTATAATGAAGTTTGGCCACTATTGAAATCCTCATTTCATAAATATAAAAAATGTACACATCATTTTAAAAAATTGCAAGAAAAATTCACTTACTTTCTCTGTAGTTACAGTAAGGGAAGGAACCAACAAGCATGGCGAAGAATCTGTTTGCTTCTTATGTTTTTGTCTATGCTTTTCCTTTTCTTTATATTTCTAGAAAATAATTAAAGATAAAAGCAATATCAGAGAATTATCTGCATTTTAACCACAGGTGGTCCTTGATTTATAGCCATAATTGGGATCTGAATTTCCGTTTCTAAGTAAGGTAAAACTGCTAGGAGAATTTCATCACATTTTATGACTTTTTCCCATGGTTAAAGCGAATCACTGCAGTTACTGAATAATCATACAGTCATGAAGCAAATCGAGTTTCTCTCAATGACTTTGTTTATCAGAAACTCACTAGGATGGTCGTAGGTTGCGATCACAGGACTCCGGGGAGCTTCCATCATTGTAAATACATGAAGTTTCCAGGTACCTGAATTTTAATCATGTGACCATCAGAATACTATGCTAATTCTAAGTACAAAAATGTGTTGTCTTTTTTTCAGTGCCATTGTAACTTCAAATGCTAACTAAAAGAATGGTTATAAGTTGAGGACTACCTATATTAATAAATTACTGTTCTAACATTAGCTGAAAATTTATGATGTATACAAAATAAATATTTTATTTACTAATGTTCAGTTCAAGCAACACTATTAATGAAGTTATTTTCTTCCAAAGTTGGTTGTTTCTTCCCAAAGCTGGGAATGTACTTTTTTTTCCTGCTTAGTACAGGCAGTCCTTGACTTATGACCACAACGAAGATCAAAATTTCTGTAGCTAAGTGAGATATTTGTTAAGTGAGTCTTGCCCCTTTTTATGACCTTTCTTGCTTCAGTTCTTAATGATCACTGCAGTTGCGTTAGTAACCTGACTATTAAGTGAATCTGGCTTCCCCATTGACTTTGCTTGTCAAAAGGTTGCAAAAAGGGAATCACACGACCCTGGGACACTGCAACCGTCATAAATATGAGTCAGTTGTCAAGCATTTGAATTTTGATCAGGTGAAGACAGGGATGCTGCAAAGTTCGTAAGTGTGAAAAACAATCAGAACTCACTTTTTTCAGTGCCGTTGTAATTTTGAACAGTTACTAAACAAATTGCTGTAAGTCAAGGACTTTCTGTAAGAAATAACTACATCTCTACAGAGAGCAAAACAATGATGAAAACTGTCTTGAATGCATTGGGTCAAGGGAGGGAAATGATATTGCCATAGGTGTATACTATGGGCCACTCAACAGAGGGAATAGATGACTTTTTTGTTAATCAGTTAACTCAGACATATCACAGAAGTACCGTATTTGCCGGCGTATAAGACGACTGGGCGTATAAGACGACCCCCCAACATTTCCACTCAAAATATAGAGTTTGTTATATACTCGCCGTATAAGACTACCCCCCCTTCCACACACCTTCCACTTTTGCACTTTTTTTTTTTTGACGCACTTTTCTGCTTTGGACAATTTTGAAATGAGCTAATCCAATTTTGAACCAAGAATATGCAAATAGCTATGGAGTTTAGAAATGAGTTTTAAAAATATTTTTCATTGCTTACCATTAAGCGTAAAATATGTTGTAAATAAAATGAGAACACAGGAAACGTTCTCTTCTCAATACAGCTGATCTCTCTCTCTCTCTCTCTCTCTCTCACACACACACACAACCAAAAACCCGGACACTGAAAAGGCTGCCAAGGAACAGTATATTCAATGCCTTCTCTTTAATCAAGAAACAAGGAATTCCTTAGAATCTTTTTTTTTCCCCAAGTGGCCCTCTTTAAAAAAAAAAATGGAGGTAACACTTTCATTCAAAAAGTCTTCCAGTATCTGGAGTCGCTCAGACATATTGAAGTGAGGCAGGAGAGTAAGTGAAATTTGAAATGATCCAGCTACAGTTTTCTTCCCCTCCCGCCCGAAGGCCATTATCTCCACGTCAAAACGAACGAGGGGAGGCAAAGAAGCCAAACACGCTAAAAAGGATCTCTTTATTTTCCTACACAAGGTCACACCTACTTTTCCGCATTCAAAGGACAACCTCTCCTCACCACCACCACACACACACACACCCCAATACCCGCAAACAATGTTCTGGGCATTAATCACCATTGCTACATTAACCTGGTAAATTTATACCCTGCCTCCCCCAGTGTTGCTTTGACGGCAGGATTTCACACAGCGGGGCGCTCGCTCGCTCTCTTCTCCGCTCTCCCACCGTTCGCACATGTTGGAAGCACTGTAAAACCTGATAACCCACCCGGGGGCTCCCCCATCCTTAACCTACAGCCGCGCGCGCACACACACACACACACACCCCGCCCCCCCCCCCCCCAGCCTCCCTCCCGGCTGCAACTCAAGCTCGAAGTGGGAGTCGGAGTCCTCCCGGCGTATAAGACGACCCCCCCACTTGGAGGCATGTTTTTCAGGGCAAAAAAGTCGTCTTATACGCCGGCAAATACGGTAATGGGGGACTTTAACTACCCTGACATCAACTGGAAGACAAACTCTGCTACAAATGGAAGATCAAACAGGTTCCTGACAAACCTAGCAGACAACTTTGTCTTCCAAAAAGCAGAGAAGGGGAATCAGCCATATTGGACTTAATTCTCACTAACAGATAAAATGATAGAAGGTGTTGAAGATAAGGAACCTTAGGAAGGAGTGATCATGCGATACTGAAATTCAATATTATGCAATCACAAGCAACAGGACAAATGCAAACTACAATCTTGTTTTAAGAGAACTAATTTCAATAAACTTAGAGAGTGGTTGGGAAGGATTCCATGGATGAGAATACTTAAGGGGAAAACAACTTAAGAAGCTTGGGAAATTTTGAAAACTGAAATTATAAAAGTCCAATCTAGCACAATGTCAATGAAGAAGAAAAATAACAGCTCTCAAAAGAAACCAGCATGGCTGCAGAAAGAACTCTCTGATAAATTGAAAGACAAAAAGGACAAGTATAAAAAGTGGAAAGAGGGGCACATAACTAAGGCAGAATATCCACAAATAGTGTAAGCCTGCAAAGATGAAGTGAGGAATGCTAAGGCTTAAAATGAACTAAGACTTGCAACAAAAGTAAGAGGGGGGAGGGGGAGAGGGAGGGAGAGATTCTTTCAACATGTAAAAAACAAGAAAAAAGTCAAGGAAACAAATTGGTTCACTAGTGGAAGAAAGTGGCAAGAAGGTGACAAGGAACAGAGAAAAGCAGAACTATTTAACACATTTTTTGTATCCGTTTTTATACAAAGGGAAAAAACAATTTAACCTATCAAAAACAGTAACATAAAAAACAGATTAGAAACACAAGTTAAAATAGACAAGTAAGTGAGCACCTGTCTACCCTGGGCAAGTTTAAATCACTGGGACCAGCTGGATTACATCCCAAGGTTCTGAACCACTTAACTATATCTTCCAAAGATACTGGAGTCTGGAAAAGAGCTGATGTAGTTCCCATCTTCAAAAAAGGAAAAAAAAATAGATCAAGGAAACTACAGACCTATCAGCCTGATCTCTATACCTGGGAAGATTCTGGAAAAGATTATCAAGCCACGAATCAGGGAATACCTAGAGGCAAACAAAGTCATAACCAAAAGCCAAGAGTACAGAGAAGAATAACAAAGATGATTAGAGAACTGAAGGTTAAAACATATAAAGAAAGGTTGCTAGAATTGGATATGGCTAGTTTAATGAAAAGGACTGGGGTGACAAAATAGCAGTCTTCCGAAATCTCAGGGGTTGCCGCAAAGAGGGAGTCAAAGCTATTCTCCAAAGCATCTGAGGGCAGGACAAGAAGCAATAGGTGGAAATTAATCAAGGAGAAAAGGAACCTAGAACTAAGAAGAAATTTCTGACAGTTAGAACAATTTAACCAGTGGAACAACTTGCCTCCAGAAATTGTAAATTCTCCAACACTGGAAGTTTTTAAGAAGAGATTGGATAACCATTTGTCTGAAATGGTATAGGGCCGTGATGGCAAACCTACGGCACACGTGCCACAGGTGGCATGCAGAGCCATTTGTGTGGGCACATGAGTCCCAGCCAAACTTACCTGCGCTGTGCATGTGCGCGCCTCCCAGCTGATTTTCGGCTTGTTTGAGGCCTTTTTCGGCCTCCCAGATGCTCAAGAAAAGTCTCTGCAGCCTTTGGATGCCGAAAAACAGGCCTTTTTTGTCACTATACCAGAAGTGACAAAATGGGCCCATTTTTCGGCTTCCAAAGGCTGCAGAGGCTTCCCTCAAGCCTCTGGGAGGCCAAAAAAGGCCTCAAATGGGCTGAAAATCAGGTGGGAGGTGCACACATGCGCAGGGCAGGTAAGGGAATGGTGTGGGGGGATCATGCGTGCATGCGCTGGGGGCTTGGGGGTGCACATATTGCCTTCTGGGTGTGGCATGTGAGTGCGCACACACGAGCGTGCAATTTTTAGCACAGCAGCCCAAAAAGGTTAGCCACCGCTGGTATAGGGTTTCCTGCCTGAACAGCGGGTTGGACTAGAAGACCTCCTAGGTCTCTTCCAACCATTCTATTCCATTCCATTCTTGTATCCTACACATCTTTTATTTGCGATTTATATTAATTCCATGCTATTAGCTTGTTTAGAATTTTATATCCTGCTGGGATTCAAATAGTAAAATTAATGGGTATGTTGGTTCAAATTCTCCCTTATTTATGTTAAGATATGATGGGAAAAGAATTCATGGTTTGCCTTCTCCCATATAGTATAGAAAATGAAATGGGGTAAGGCTGTATCATTAAGGCCTAGATAAGTATCATAAATATCCATTATGGGCTACTTAAATAAACCAAGCATATAAGCAATCCATGGTTTTAAAAATCATAATTAAATAATCTATAGCTCAGAATTTGAAAATGACACTCTGCTGTAATTAATTAATCTGAAGCAGAAGCATTTAACTACTTCTTTGCATCTATTATTCTTCTAATGCTAAACCACTGTTTAGTATTATATTTGAATTCAGCTAGTGACAATTTGATATATCAATAATTCCATACCATTTAAAATGAATTTCAATCACTAAAATACCATTTTTAATCACTAAAATAATGTCTATTTACTTTTTAAAATTAACTCGACAAAAGAATGAGAAAAAC